GTCCAATAGGAGTGAGTGAAAATGAGGTGAGCCTGTAGTCTGGTAATGAGCTCTTTCCTGGAAGACATGTTAAGCAGGCCCAGGTCCTAAACCTTATTCATTCAGTTTTTCTGCGTATTGGCAAAGGCTGCAGAACTTCATAGTCCATAACAGAAGAGCTGCTATTCTTGCTTCTCTCTGGGGTTCTCTGACCCTGGCTGCTGTGTGTGCTGATTCATAGCGTTCATCAGGCTCAGTACTCAGAAGCCAGCCTATATTAAAAGCAGAACTTACAGTCTTTAATGGGTAGTCCCAGTGTAGCCCCTGATTTCTAAATGGATACTCAAGAAAGTGAATAGGCTTTATGGAACCAGTTTCTCAGTAACTTGTCAGTGGAAGAGAGATCTACTTTCAGATCTGTCTTTTCAGTTGGACAGAAGACAAGGTACCACTGATCACTGATGCCAGAAGATGGAGAAATTGTGAAATGAAGATGCGCTTAGAGTACACCCAGCAGCCATAACTGAACTCATATCTACAGTTTTATTTTCTATATTCATCACTGATGGGCTGCATTTGCAACAGGAATGAGAATAATGACATAAACAAAAGTCCTGTCTTTCTTTGTAATTCTTCTTACCTAATCCTACAGAACAATCTACTTTTCACTCCTGCAGTTGTGTTATTATTATCAATACTGTAAACGCAGTCTGAAACACATTTCTCAACTAAGAGTGTCTGTAAGTTACACAGCTGGGCTGAAAAGAGGAAGCAAACAAAGTTTGTTATCCTGTCTATCTTTCCAGTAAGATAGACTGTTTTGATGAAATGATGATATATTAACATTCACTGATGCAGCAAAATATGAGACCAAGTTAAAGGTAAAAAGTGAAAATCAGTGTTGTGTTGCACATCAAATTCTCAATGCAGTGATTGATCACATATTCCAACTCTACAATGTGTAAGTCTATTTCAAAATCAAGGATATACTACAATACAGTTGTAAGAAGGAGTAACTTGAAGTGCTGAGCAATGCTTACAAGTTGGGGGAAAGAATATCTTTTCAGAATACATGTTAGTCCTTCTAAATAACCTAACAAAAATCAACATTTTGTAATTAGTATGGCTAGGAGAAGACACTGCTTAAACATATTGTAGGTGATGCTAATAACAACTTAGGTTTCTCGTACAGTATACAAAGCCTAAATTTCTCCCAAAATTTTTCATAGTATAATGCAGTAGTCTAATACAGACATTATTCTAAATTGCAGCCTGATTTTACTCACTTCCTTGAATGTGAGATGATACATAAACAACTTGCTTTGTCCAAAACCACATCAATCCTTTTCCTTCTATTCTGCCTCAAGGAAGTTAACCAGTGTTTCACAAACCCACTGAATGAACCAGCAGTATTGTCTCAGTGAGAAAATTTCTGCAATGTTAGTTAAGGGTCTGTGGATGAAAATAGAGAAAGTACTCATCAAACCGTCATAGAAAAACCCTGGCATGAAAAGGGCTAAACTGGGAGTGTATATTACTCACTTTAAAGGGAAAGAGAACATAATAGTTATCCTTTGAAATAACACACGTTAAGCTTTACATTGCACATGACAGTTCCACAAGCTGTGAAACAGAGGACTAGGTGGCTGCTTGTTGTTACTGTTTTTTTAAATATAAAATAGGCAAACATGGCCTGAATTTACTCATTAAAAAAGCCAATAAAACTAGGTGCAGTGGAAGAAGCTGCTAGTTCACCCCCTAGGTGAAAAGTGATTATATGAGCCTGAGTGAAGAGTGGCTTTTCGTCTCTCCTATCCCTTGCTTTTCTTGACATTCACTGTTTACTCTGTGCAGGAAACATATTAATAAGTTTCAGTCTGAATGTAGCTTGTGCCCCATATCTCATAAAGCAGTAAGATTTTGTTATTATTCTGGATAAGAAAACTATAAATGAGATAACTCTCCTTTTAGCTATCATGACTTAGATAAAGCCTTTAATGATTAACTGAAAGGACTAGTTCACGTAAATACTGCTGTTTTCCAAATCTGTTTTATTTATGCAAAGTATTATTGATCATTAAAAAAAATAATCTAGCGAGGAGGTTTGCTTCAGCTTCACTGAAACTGATTATTGTCAATCCTTTATGATAACACTTGCTGGAAAATTGTGAGCTTATTTTGGAAATTGTGTAGTTGAAACTAGCTAAAGCAGAAAACAACTGCATTTCTAGTTACTGAATTACATGGACGAGCCGGAGGGATTTCACTGAAAGCTGAAGTTGTATTCACCTTGGGCTGCCCAATATGAATCTTTTTTATGTTACCTGAATGGCACAAGAAAAAAATATTATAGTTCATATTATAGTTCATAATGCATCACCCCAAATTTTCAATGGTGTCACTACTTCTCCTTAAACCAACATGTATGCATGTTGTAAGAGTTTAATCCCATAAATGTGAATTGGAGTCTGGTATAAAATAATAACAAGCAAAATAAATCTTTTCAAGAAGGGCCTGTATACAGCATGAGGATTTTAATCCTTCCAATCTCACCCATCTGTTTCTGCTGTCCTTTCAGTATGCAAAGCCCTGAGATCAGTGCCTTATGTAACTCTAAAAGAGAACAAGGATGCAGACTACAAATAAATTTCAATATTATGTAACAACAGGTTAATGAAAAATGCACACAGCCTTTTAAAACTTCGTTCCATGCCAATAACTGCTGATCTTTTTCCCAGTTACATTCTTATTGTATGTATTAATATCAATTTTATATTGAGTATTCCAAATAGCGGATTTTAAACAAATGCTAATTATTTTAAGATGTTTTGTTTTGTTTTTACAAAAAATATGCACCAGTATTTTTCTCAACAATTTTCTCTGCAGATTTATATTGGCTACTGAACTTCAGAACTTGCACTGTGGCTGCTTAAAGCTGTCAGAAATGCCAGAAATGAAAGCAATAGCTTGAGAGAATCGCCTGTACACATTGCTCTGTGCTACACGAAAGTCTAGATAACACCACCAATCATTTTTTTTGAGGAAGGAAATTACTTCTTTAAAGAAGATGGTTATGTTCTTGAAGGATGTTAGACAGAACACTATGTAGGATTGCACAGATGGTGGGTAAATGAATAGCTATGCAGAAAACAGGATAAATCAGCTCTAAATTCCACAACACTTATTGTTGGTGTCAAGTTCTTCAGTATACTATAAATTAGTAGATTATTAGCCTAGCATGTGAGTCTGTAGTATTTTTATTTGTAAGGCAGAAATTGCGTTGCACAGAAATAACAAAATGAAAACTACTTTATCTGACTGACAGCGATACAGAGCGCTATGTTTATAGCATAGCATAAAAACCACACCACTGAGTCCAATGTGTCAACGTGGCCAACATGAGAAAAAAAATTAAGTCAACATGAGAAAAAAAAAAAACCCTTGTAATTAATACAGCTTCTCTTCATACAGTTCAAAGAAGGAGAAATTTCAAAACCATTTGCAGGAGGAAAAGGAGCCATTTAACTGCCTGGCATTAAGAATTCTGATCCTAAATGAGAATTTCAAAAATACTTCCCTAGGAAGCAAATTGAGATGAACTGGCGTGTGTGTGCCATTGACTTACAGTGTCTCTAAAGCAGTTCTAATTACTGAATTCAGCTGCTGGTGATACATACTGTCTCACTCATATTCTAAGTCTGCAGATGAACACCTGCTAATTTCTCAGATAATAGATGGAACTTACCTCAGGCTGAAATATGTGAAAATGCTACAAAACACATTCATATTTGAAAATATAAATGCTTGTGGTATGAGCCAGAAAGTAAAATAGCTTTCAGAAGTGAGGTAAATTCTTTTTAATTACACATAGAGGCACATGTGTAAGCAAAACTGTGAAGAACAAAACATTTACATGTCATTCCACCTACTGCAGAAAGAACAAAACCACATCTGTTGGGAGTCAGGTTTCTACACTAATGCAGAAAAGCACTCTTTTCTCAATTCAGTGAGAATTTCTGACCATTTTATTTCACCTCTGCCAAACATTTTGCAGTGCAGTAGAATACTCCTCTGTAATGAGGTAGAAACATATTCAGTGGCAAATTAAATGTGAGTGGGAAGTTCTCATAATAATATACATTATAACTATAGTCTTGCTGACTGTATCTAGAGAAGTGATGTATAGATTGCAGTTATCACCTAGGTAGGACACATTCTGGATATCTGTCCAAACCTGGGTCTGAAATATCAATTCTTCAGCATTTTGAAATATGACAGTGATACTGCATTATGAGATTTTTGTTGAAAATCTGAACTATTGGTGTTTTTTTTTTAACCCTCTATTCTCATGGGCATTAGAACCCATTAAGTTCCATATCCCTGTTTCCAAAACCTGGGAATTATCCCGATATTGCATGAATTAACCTCTGTAACGCTTGCATCTTTTGCTTTTTTTTTCTGTCCACTCATGTGTTCTCTCATTTGCTTTATCCCCTGCTGAATCACAGATACAGGAAAGAACAAAAAGCATATAGATTACTCAGGACATCTCAGTGTAGTGAAGTACTGTACAGAACAGTTTGGTTAGCAGGATATTTAATACTTTGTCATCTAGACTTTTGAAGAGTTTGAGGCATCTCATTAACAGAATTGTTTCTTCCATTTAATTCTTAAGAATAAATTACTCTATTTTAATTTCATGTCATTACTTAATAAAATCTTTCAGTTATAGAACTGGAATGAATGAGAGATAGGTTGCATATAGATGTACACATCAAAATAATCATTTCCAGTGTCATACAGTAACAATATCTTTATTTTCATCTGTAACCTTTACTTTTTTCCCATATGTCCATCTGCATGTATTCAGAAGGATTACAGCCTGTTTAAATACAGATGCTTAACTTGTCCAAGAGATGTTTAAGTGCATGATACTTCAAGACAGCAGCCTAAACACTGTTTAATTAATTAAAATGGTATAATTATTAAATAATGATTTATTATATATCCAGTGTAATAAAATAAAAACTATACCAAAGACTGGCAGATGATGCTTCAAAACCATAAATTTCCCTGGGAAGCCTGTAGCTAACGTGTACCAACCATGAATTGTGTTAGACAAAGACTATGAAAAACATGCAAGAAGCTCAATTCAATAAAAATGATACCAATTTCTGCTAGATTTAAGATCCAGAGCCATGCCTGTAAAGGCTATAACTCAAGTCCAATAAGAAGCTATGAACTCCAGTTTCCTATTTTTTACTACTGCATTTTCTCCCACGTTTCTACCTTGAGACAAATTCTTAAAATAGCAGAAAATACTTTCTGATCACTGCGGGAGAATTTTTCTCTTGCTATTTCTGTTACTTTGCTTTACTTAATCCATTTTTATCTTTCCCTTTTCATCTTCCCCATACCATCTGCAATGGTCGCCTTTGCTTCACTTCTGCTTTTCCTGGAAGATAACTCTTAGCAAGTTAAACCTTCCACCTTATGTGTATAATTCTGTTTCAGCATTGACATTGTTTAGTAAAACTGTGTCTTCCAGTCACCCAGATTGTAAGGCTCATGGTTGTTTCTCACTGAGATTGCAAGCTGTGCCATCTGGGTGATGTGGTGGGTCCTGTCTAGTGCATTACTCTGGATACTCACTGACATGAACTCTGAGAACAGTATGACCAGAAGAATATTTTCAGCAGGAAAGACTGCACAATCTGCATTACAAATATTCCTGAGAAAACAATTCAAAAAGCGTTAACAGCATCCAAAAGCATGTTTAATTATTCTAAGAATTGTTTGTAATACATTTTTCTCCTTGGCATAGTGCCAGCGTGCAGTGTGCTTTACTAGGATTTTATATGCTTCAGTAAAGTATCTATGCATACTTCTTTGCTTAGGCTATGAAATTTGTTGCTATGGAAATATCTAAAATGGTCTGTGACAAAGAGTGGGAAAATTCATTCAGGCAAAAAAGGATCCAGCCTGAATCTCCATTCAGTAGTCAAAGTGAATGGTAGCTGTTTCTCTGCTTTTTAGTAGCTTAATATATTCTCTGTATTATTGATATCTTTCAGCCACTTGCATCCAGTTCATATAGGTCCCAGCTCAGTGCATAATCTGGGCACAGCAGTTCAAGCATCATCTCTGATAAATCAGATTAAACTCAATTAGATTAATTTATCCTTGCTATTCTTTGTCTTCTACTTGCTTCCCTAAAATTTCTTGGCACAGGATCACTTTCTAGATTAGCTGCACCACTGACTGCACTACCTTCTTTCCAAACATTTAAACCTCAGATGATTTATTGCTTCTGACAAGTACAGTGCACTCTGGGAACTAACTGAATAGAAACCTTCAGATTGGGGGGGAATTTAAAAATTGGGGGGAAATTTAAACAGTAACTTCCAGCAAAGCGTGTCTTGGGTCCTGCTGTCTGAGCAGTTTCTCTTGCTGGAGAAGAGAAGCTGGCCTTAGGCAAAAAACTGTGAGAGAGCATGCAAGGTAGGCTCACATGATGTTCACATGCATGCATATATTCTGTTCTGGATATACGTTTTTCTTTTGGTGGCAGGATCTTTACTGTGTTGTAGGCTTTCTGATGTTAGCATCTTGGAACCAAAGAGAGAACCTTACTTTTCAAAATCTCTGTCTCCAATTAGGAAAACAGACTTTCAGATGACTGTGCTGATTGGTGAGACAGATTCTGCAATTAAAAATTGGAGCAGCACCTGTCAGTAACTGAGATGTCTCCTTGCTATTAATTTGAAACTAATACCGAATATGATCTCTTAAGAAATACATTAACAAAGGACTAAGATTACATTGGCTACAGGTAAGAAAAGCAGTTCATGGCTTCATGATCTATTTATTCATCTGTCTCCCATCTCTGTTCATTTAATTACTGTGAATTTAAGTATGATTGCAGAATGCTATTAACCAGGGATGATTTTCTGTGTATAGAATGGATTTGAAGATTTAACCCTCTGTTCCCTGGTAAGTCCTCTGCACAAATCCTCAGATTACATGACGAATTGGAGAAAAGAGTAATACAGAACTACCAAGACTGCATGTTTTATTGTGGATATTGGGTAAGGATAGATGAAAAACCTAATGATGTTACCACATTCCAGAGGCTACGGAAACAGATTATTGAACATGACAAAGCCAGTTCTCCTGAAGAAAGCTGAAGTATTGGTTCTTCCTTGATCTAAAACCCTATTATCATACAATTAAAAAGGCAAGCAGAGGATCAGCAAAAATCAAGCCAAGTTCTGTCTGCAAACAAACAAAAAATGAACTAAAAATTCTATAAAGAGTAAGTTTTTGGCTTAAATGATAAATTGCTTATGTAGTAACTGCCTGTTTTCTTTCACTAAGAGGCAAAGCAAATCCTTTCACTCTGCCATCAAGCCATAGAGATATAACTACTTGGAAAACAACATGAGCAAGAATACATGTATTGACAAAATATAAAAAATACGAGGTTAGAAAATGTGTTCCCATAAAAATAATGAAGAACAAGTTGCTATAATAGTAAATAAGTGCTACAGGGTAAGATGTTCTGAAGTATTCACATAACTCACAATGCCAGTCCTCCTTTCAAATTAATACTTTTCTATAAGCTGTATCTATTTTTTAAAGAATTTTTATTTCATGTGCCTATAAATGTTAAATATCTACCATATTAAATCAGAAAAGTCAGCCTTCAAAATGCCTAGGAGTATGTAACATCAAGACTCTGTCAGAATAGCTACAGAACTCTGGTTCTCAGATGGAAGATAAAATATATTTCTTATACCAATTCATTCTACTACAAAAAGTTATTAATGAAGGTAATGACACAGTCACACACTAGTATACAAGAGAAAACGAAGGGCAAGGACCATCATGTCAAAAAATTATGATTTCGGAAATAAACTGAAAACAGAATAGTAAGACAGAAATCAGAAAACCAACATTATATAAGATCAAAAGCCACCAAATTGAGTCACCACATGACTCAAGTTTTCCATAATAAAACAGGATATGAAATAATATAAGATTATTATTATAAAATTCAGTTTTCAGTGGGACTTACAGTTTTAAAAATAAATACTGAATTTAGAAACCTGTGCTGGTTTCACAGAGGCATTTAAGCTAATTCTTCTTACCTGTTATAGTTGCTTTGTTAATAGATGGTTGGTTACACATTGGTGACCGTCTGTTTGAAAAGAAAAGAAAAAAAAGACTTATCAAGCTGTTAAACTCATAAATGGTTGAAGAATACAAGAAAACATGTTTCTTTGGGAAATTATTTGTGACTGAAGCACGATGGCATAAAAGTTCATTTAGCTATTTTCTTGTAACACATAAAGGAATTCACAATGGTTGCTCAAATCTTTCTACAGATTGGGATATATCTTCAGCAGGGAAATTTAGAAATTAATTTACGAGTCTGCTTAATCCTTAATTGAATATGTACCTAGCTTAAAGTTCAGTCTCTATCTATAATTATTACTTTTATGGCTTGCACTACCCATGTTCTCTCACTCAGAACAAATTCTTATAGCAACAATTAGTTTTAACTTTTTTTTTTTTTTTTTTTTTTTTTTGCATGCACTTCACAATAATCTTCAGGGCAAACAGCTCAGTGGAATCCTTTGTTCATTGATGAAAGTTAAAATTTGCTGGATTAACATAGCTGTTTAGAGATGACAGCAGGCAGGATCTGAATAGGGCATATTCCAAATGAAGGGGCTGGAAATATCTTTTAATAGAATTGCATATGCAATGGTGGGCATTTGTCATTATGAGCTTAAGTCTTCGGTGAGAAACTGCCACAGTTCCATGAATGCTACCTGATTCTAATTTAGAATGATAAAAATTGATTCACTACAAAATTTTCCAGTTTAACTAACATTAATGTTAACTATGATACTGTAGCAGAATTGAAAATCATATTTATAATATGTCACTCATAATCATGAACTACTGTGGATATGTAAGACATCTTTATCTTGGATGACTTCTAGATCCAGATCTTGCAATCAGGGTAGCTATCTGTTCACTTTGGCTCATTTGCACAACTCAGACTCATTGCCTGAATTATCATCTCTGAATTATCCTTGACATATGACTTACTGAAAATTGTAGAAATTGCATAAATAAAAATTACTGGATGGTTATGCAAGGAAACCTATGCAAGAGCAGATAGTAGGCAAGAGGGCTTCTGTCTCATCTATCAAGTATAGGCAGTTTCAACAGATAATAAAACCATTACAAGTTTTACACTTGTAAAGTCATAAAAAATCTATAACATCTAATTGTTCTTCTTAGTTCATATTTTAAAAATACTACTGCTAAAAGTTCAGTGGCCAAAAATTGATTCTTACTTGCTGGGTGCCCGATCTTGTAAATTGGTTAATGCAGCAAAGTTATTCCGTACAGTACGCAGGCTGGCCAGCACCTGGAACAGACAAAATGGCTTCAGTCTAAATTTCTGCACAGGCGAGACTGAATTAGCTCCACTCCACTATGCTGAAAGGAAAAGAAAGGACAATGCAAAATACCTGTGAAATGTTCCCAGGGTTGGTTTGACCAGTCTTTGAACATTATCTAACAATAACATGTCTGTAATAAAAGGCCAATAGTTGATTTTTTTTTGTTCTCTAATAACCAATTCGTTATTTGTTTAAAGACAGACTTAGCTGAAGAGGAGGGAAGTTTTTCACAGAATATTATTTAGTTCTCTAAAATGACCATAAAAGCATTCGTGTTTGGATGATAATAGTCCATTCAAGCCTAATACTTCATACATAAGAAATGATTACATATTTTTCCGTTTGCTGTTCAGCCCCCACAAATCTCAAATGACAAAGAGAATGAAATTGTTTAGACAGACAAAGAAAATAAAAGTGGCTCCCTTAAGGAGCCTGATTCATTTGGGTACTTAGTACAGGACACATTAGGAGGAAGGTATTATTAGAGCAGGTGAAAAATGTATGCAGGCCCAAAACTACAGGACTTGCATACTGTGAAAGACAATATAAATGGAGTACTTGCTTCCTGAACTTTTTTAATGAAAGACAGCAGCTAAAGTAGGCAGCAGAGAAATGTCTTAATATAAGTGGTATAGACATTCTCTGCTGAAGGAAGTTGGATGAATGTAACAAATTTTGCATGTTAACAACATGACGTGAGTGTATAAGTTTTTGTTCAGATAGGTGATTTTTTTCTTTTTTCAAGCAAACAAGTCTTATATAATAGTAAGAGTGGAGAAGAACTGGTTTGGCCTTCTTGGGTTGCACGATCATATGAGGAACAAGGCAAAACTGTGCGTACCTGAGCAAATGGTGTCACAATCAAGTCATCTCCATGTCTGAAAAAACAAGCAGAGTTGTAAGTTAGATATTAGTGAAAACTAATAAAACTAACTAATCTCCCTGCTACTGCTTTAAAAGAAAGAAAATAAGGTTTTACAATGCACTGGGGGTATCTCCAGGTTTACTGTTCAACAGTTACTGATGCTGCTTCACAGATTGTTTTGAAAAGCAAATACCAAATCAGTCATTGTCCAATCGTTCAATACATACGGGATGGCTGATGAACCAGCCAGTTTCTACACAGGACTGCATGGAACAGACCTGAAGAGATTTTATCCCAAAGGACAAACTTGAAAATACTGAAAGATTATATTAAAGCTTACTAGCACGTTTGTGAGCACTGGCCAGGCAAGTAACTGCAGATGACTGGGCAGTGCATCACAGACTAATAAAAACCTGGTAAAACTTTTGAATTGACTCACGCTGGTGTAGTTATAAGGGAGTGTAACCAAGAGTGTGCTGTTGCTGTGCCAACCTCACCCACATCACACTGGCTGACGTAGGGCATGGTGTTGGGATGACGCGTGGCCTCAGAGAGGCAGGAAAAGAAGGGTTTCCTTACTTCTTCTCTGAAATGCTTGCACTGAGAGTTTGGCTTATGCTGTGAAGTATTTCCCCTCACTTTATGAATAAAATATTAAAGCTACACACAAAGTACCACGTGCAGTCATGTCTTACTCTAAGAGAACACTGAAAAACCAAAGGAAGAAACTAACTGGAACCTGAAGCATGCATTAACTGTCCACTTTCATCCAAACTGTGAGAAACAAGGAAAACTTGGTATTTTCAGTTATCATGTCTAGCAGTTTGCAGCAAAGTAAAAAAAAAAAAAAAAAGAAAAAAAAAAAAAAGATAAAAATCTAATGTAACTTCATATTTAATTATTCTGTATTTTGGATTTCTGTATTCTGCATTTTCCTACATTTATCACGAAACACTGTAAATTGTATTTGGACCTGAAATCTTTCAACAGAAATTACTATTGTTTTGATACTGCTTTCATGTTATTCAGGTCTAAAGTATGAGAAATTACTATCAGATTTTCAAATCCAGGTCTGTTTCCAATACCAATCAAAATTATGAAGGTTTATTAAACCCAGCTAGTCATTAACTCCCTTGTTAAAGTACTGGGCTGATTTATCTTGTTTATAATAACCAGTTGAATTTGGTTTTATGAGATAAAGTCTCTGAATTAGTTCCATGGTGCTATGGTGCCTTTATTCCTCTTCTACCTCCTTTCCCGTCAAACTGGGACTTTTTTCAACTTAGCTCAACCATTCCTGCAAAGAAAACAATTCAATGAAGCATCCTCACAGCAATGATTTCCTCAAGCATCCAGGAAGGAAATACCCTTCACAATATTTGCATTAGCCGTGGAATATATTTTTTTCTGCATTCTTGGTAAAGCAAGGAACTAGGGAAATTAATGACTGTGATGTAAAAGTTAAGGTTGGCATCCATGGCATTTAATTCAGCTTCCTAAGGGAATGGAAAGATCATACCTCTTCCTTTTTGATCCTAACTGATCAAATAAAATTGTGCTATTTCTTACAGTCAGTCTGATGTGGTCTTAGCAGGTACATATCCACAGCAAAAGTGTATGTCACACTCTTTGTTAATAATCTATGAAAGACAACTTGAATTTCTTATCAGTATTGCTCAATGCGTTACATAGCTAGACAATGGAAGAGCAAGTCATAGAGAAGATGTATAGCAAAGGCTTCAAGAGAACACAAGCAAAGTGCATCTTTTCTTTTTCTCTCATTCTCCACTTAAATAGTCATAATATGAACATGTAAACTATATCACTCCCATAAAAATTTTGCTCTTTTCTTCAAATTATGTGAAACAGTATTATCAGCTGTGCAAAAGCTGGTTTGGTAAAACTGTAAAAATTGAATGCTCCTCTGTTTCACTATCTCTTGTATACTGCATTACTGGGAGTGTATTTCATCGGTCTTCTTCCCATTCAATGATCCTGTTTGCCACCTCTTGAAAATACCATCACTCCGTTGCTTTAATTTTTGAATTTTAATCTAGTTAAGCTTTTTCTGGACTGCATTTCACTGGAGAATATTCATGAAGTAGTGTGGCTTGTTATCTGCTAAAGGAGACATTATTGAATATTAAATTAATGCACTGAAACCAATCCAGGATTTCATTTACCTATTTAAAATATCCCTTCTGTCAAGAGTAACAACTACAGAAATTGTCACTACTTGGTAGAATAGCAATATTGGAAGTACAGATATGAGTTGTATCGAGAGAAGCATGGCCAGCAGGTTGAGGGAGGCAATTCTGCCCTTTTACTCTGCTCTCATGAGTACTAGTTCTAGGAGCCCCCAACACAAGAAGGACCTGGGGTTGTTGGAGTCAGTTCAGAGGAGGGCCATGAAGATGATCAGAGGGCTGGAGCACCTTCCCTGTGAGGCTGAGAGAACTGGGGCTTTTCAGCCTGGAGAAGAGAAGGCTCTGAGTAAACCTTACAGTGACCAACCTGTACCTGACAGAGGCCTACAGGAAAGCTGGGAGGGATGTCTTATAAGCACGTATAGTGACGGGATAAGGGGAAATGGCTTTAAACTGGAAGAGGGTAGATTAGACTAGATATTAGGACTAAATTTGTTACTGTTAGGGTGGTGAGACACTGGAACAGGTTGCCCAGCAAAGCTGTGAATGCTCCTCCCCTGGAGTTGTTCAAGGACAGGCTCGACAGGGCTTCGACCAATCTGGTCTAGAGGGAGGTGACCCTGCCTATAGCAGGGTGTTGGAAGTACATGATCTTAAAAGCCCCTTCCAACCCAAACCATTCTGTGATTCTAAGATTCTATCCATAGTTTTCATAAATTAGTTTAGCACATGCCAGATAAATTTGGAAAGAAAAGCAATTTCATAGTGTGTTGAGCAATCTTTAATCCACATTGGGTCAGGAAATCTGGAAAAGGTGAGAGTGTTCAGAAAGGGAGCAGAATTGTCTAAACTGGCTGTGTTATTTTTTGATATAGAAGAGCAAGAGTATATGATTTAATCAAGGTGCTGTTGATCCACAGTGTACTCCAGTGTAGTAAAACATTGTGATTTATGAGTTTCCTGCTGTTTTCTTTTCTGATGATATGGAATCTGATTGATGATTCTGTTTGGATTCTATACAGGATAGTGCCACACATCTTTATACAGAGGCATTAAGAGGAGTATAAAACCTGTGCAATGTATCATAACCTTCTAAATAAAGACAGAGCTGTTAATCTTTAAGGTTAGAAAAATTATTATCTCTAATATAACTCTGTTAAGTCAGTTAACTAGAATGCCTGGCATACTCATTCATATATTCATTTTTCAAAGGAAAGACAAACTTGAAAAAGATTTTAACACAGATCAAAAATTTTAAGTTATCAAATTTGCTACCACTAACAAAAGCTGCTAAAAAATGTAACAGCCTATATGAGAAGAACTGGTGTTACATACAACACAAGTGAAATTACCAATAGTACACCAAATACTATAAAAAGCATTGCAAGCTATTTGCCCCTTAAAGTGATGAAGCTTGGCCTTCTGCAATGTTGTTGGCTTTCATTCCTAACCTTTCCTATGGTACATACTTGAATTCTCCCCATGTAACTTACAATGGTCTCCGTTCTGAAGAAGAGATAAAAATGCCATGCCAAGTCAGACGCGTATATTTAGCTAGCTGTTGACAAATGCAAAGTACACAATTTCAGCCTTCCTCTCCTCAAGACTGGCATTAATTTCTTTCTTCTACTCGAATTACAGGACAGTAATTAACTTTGCCTTTTCTAAAGTGGACCTTAAGAGTTACATGCATGGACAGACAGAGAAACAGGAAGGAAGATGAAATCATGGATAGGCTGGGTGACTGCAAAACCTTTATTTCTTAATTAAGTTGAGATAATTTAATTTAATCATCTAATAAAAGGAGTTGCTAAAGAGACATTCTGCAGATCTGCTAGGATCCAGTTAAAAAAAAAAAGGGTGTATTTATGTGGTTGGAAAACAGTCAAGATACCCATTAAGGGGATATGTGTCTCAGACCTTAGACACCACTAGAAATGTGACTTGCACTTGCCAGTGTGGAGCTAGCACGAAGGGTCCTGAATAAGATTTATCCTTGTAAATAATAATAAACTCAAGTTATGACTTTGAGGCAGATGTGAACACCAAGTGAGTCATCTGAAGGACACAAAAGTAAGACTTAAATAGGCAAATAAAAACAGTCTAAAAAAAGAAGGAGAAATGGACAAAATATATTTATACTAGCTTGACACATACCTTTACATGGACAAGGTACAGTCAAAATGACAGAAACTCCCAGAAACAAGCAGCAGTTAACACAGCAGTCTTTGGCATTGCTTTGAAATTCAGGACCACAAGGTTCAAGCCAGGAGGATGCCTGGCAAACCTTCCAAAAATCTTGTGTGCCTACTGCTTTCAGGCAACGACAAAGAAAGCAGAGATATAGCAGTGTGGGTGGAAGGAAGTTCCGGCAGCTTGAAGTGCGTGTAATTAGCTGCCCTTGACCTAGAGTGCCTGGATCCTTTCCTGTAGCAGTCCCCTGATTAGGAAAGGTCAAGCACCCTTCAGCTGCTGCCTGGGAGAGAACTGTTTGAGAGCTGATCGCAGAGCTCAGCCAACCGAGCAGCCAACAGTTGCAGCAATTTGCAGAGAGGACTCATTGTTGAATGTGGATTGTTCTGAGTCTTGGATATTTTGGTGATGCACTACAGAGAGATTAGACCAGGACATGCTGTAAGAAATATCTTTACAAGGCTGGAAGATTTGGTGCAGCAGAACTTCATATGTTAGATGCTGCCCTCCAGGCCTCTGGCTGCTGAGACCGCTGGGGCTTCTCTGAAGCCAGGAGAGAGAGACCCTATCCTGCAGAAAGTGGCAGCTGTGCTGGCTAGGGGAAGACTTAAAACAGGAAGTGGGTGGGCTATATCATATAAGAGAAGATGAAAGTGAGACAGAAAGGATATTC